GACACATTTATAAATGGGCTTGATGTTTTTTTGAATTAAATATGTTGTATTGATGGTTTTTTTTAACTTGTTAAAACTTGAAGTTATTATCAAATTTATATATACTATTTTTATCAAATAGTTAATATAAAATAATAAACATGTAAATTGTTTTATTTTCTGTAAAAATTGTTTTCTTGATAAATTTCAATTGTTTATCACTATGTATATCACTTATAGTATTATATTACTTGTAATTTTTTGTTTTATTTATTTTCAGTATGTTATACATATGCATGCATTAAATATTGTGGGGAAGTCAAGTTTTAATGTTTTAGGTGCATTATAGCTATTATTTTTCAAAGATTTGTAGGATTTAACAAGATTTAAATTTTATTTTGTTTATTGATTTTATTTGGAGAAAACGATCTCATAGATTAAGAGAACTCAATAATAGTGGGATAAAATTTGCTTTTATGATTTAATATGACAATTCAAATAACATTGGATAAAAAAACTTGAAAACAAATCATGCTTTTTTACCATGAAAAATCCATAAGTTTTCCTTGGAAAGGTGTTCCTAATACCTATGGAAATTCCATGGTTTTTCCATGGATGGAAAATCAATATCCATGGTATTTGAAACACATTTCCATGAAAAACTTAAAGATTTTTCATGGGAAATTCATGTGTTTCTCATGAAAACTCATGGTTTTTCCATGGAAAACTCATGGTTTTTCCATGGAAAACTCATGGTTTTTCCATGGAAAACTCATGGTTTTTCCATGGAAAACTCATGGTTTTTTCATGGGAACGTGTTCCAAATACCCATGGTTTTTCCATGGTTTTTTTTTCTAAAATTCCCATGGGAAATTTTCGTACGGGTATATATAAGTATATATATATATATATACATATATATATATATATATATATATATATATATATATATATATATATATATATATATATATATATATATATATATATATATATATATATATATATATATATATATATATATATATATACAGTGGTTTTCATAAATTTAGACGCACTCATATTTGAGAATGAATGACGAAAAAAGATTTTAGTTTAGTTTTTCTTCTATTTATTAGATAAATACATATAGAATATAAAATTTAAAAAAAGTTTACAAAAAAAATGAAATACTAAGTAATAATTAGGTACAACTACATGGTATTAAAAAAATTAGACAAAAAAAATTATTCATAAATTTAGACGCACGATACATTAGAAGGCGTAATTTATGAACCAATCAATATTTTGTGTATCCGCCTTTTTCTTTAATACAACTAAGAACTCTTCTAGGCATAGACTCAACAAAATTTTTGATCATCGCTTCTGGGACCCCATACCAGTTCTCCTTCAGTAATTCCTTCAACTAAGTAAGTGTGGAAATTTGAACCTTTGCTAATTCACGGTCAATCCAAGCCCAAATGTTTTCAATCGGGTTTAAATCAGGTGAGCATGGAGGCCACGGTATTGTCATGATACTATTATCGTTGAACCACTCCTTTGCATAATATGCAGTATGTGCAGTAGCGCCAACTTGTTGAAGTTTCCATGGTTTATCATTGAGCATAAGCAGGTCAATTAATGGAATTAAGTTGTTTTCCAGTACTTCTACGTATATTCTGGAGTTGATTCTTTCAGTGTATATTTGGCACATACCAACACCTTTGTAATTGAAGCATGACCAGATTCCTATTGAGCCTCCTCCACTTTGTTCAGTTGGTCTAATGTACCTGGCATAATACTTTTCATGAGCCATTCTTTTGACTGTTATGTTAGATTTGCGATTGATAAGCTCAAAGTTACTCTCATCACTCCACATAATATTTTCCTATCGTTCTATTGTCTAATACCTTCTTTCACGACACCATTTTAGTCTCCTTTGTTTATCATATGGACGCAGAAGCGGTTTCTTCAAAGCAGTGTAGACTCCAATCTTGTTTTTGATAAGTATTCGGCGGACTGTGCTTTGAGAAATAGATGTATTTCGCGTTGTATTGAATTCTGTGGTTGAATCTCTGTAACTTGTTCAACCCAAAACTATATACGACTCCACCAAGTTTTCAATAACTGTTAGAGGACCTAATGCATGGAATAAGATAATCAGTAATGATATTAAAACACTTAAAACTCTTGATCAGTTTAAACAAAAACTAAAACTATTACTTTTAAATAATGAACAAACAGATAATTATTTTTAAATCTATCTATAAAAATATTATATTTTAAAACTATCTACTAATGCATACTTTATTTGTCTAGAAGGTCTAAATTCTTTAATTTTATATAGGTATTACAGTCTGTTATATTATAAAAAAAGTACTTATAAAGATTTTTAGCATTTTTAGATTTCATTAGTTTAAATAAATTTATTAGTTTTCTTAAATAAAAAAGTAATCTTTTTTGAGTTTTAATTTTTTATATTAATATTTTGTAATTTGTTTTTGAGGAATTAATATATTACACTTTATAAGAACAGATTGTAAATTAAATTTTACGTTTACTTTTTTCATGTTTTTTAGTTTTTTGATATTTTTGTTTTTCTGAATGAACTTTTAAATTTTTCTTTCAAAAAATAAAATCGAAAAAATATATTTCAAAACTTTGAACTATTAAACTATTTTGCATTTTATATAAACTTCTTTGTAATATTTTGCTTTTTTCTTAATTTTTTAATTTTCATTTTAGTTACCATGTATTTATATAAATGTCTAGACAAAAAAGGGACTTGGTGATAAGACAACCCCGTCTTCTTCTCGTCCTTGCCATTTTTAAATATTTTAAATTACGGAACTTGTAAATATTTGTACGGCTAGATTATATATATATAAAAAAAAAAAAAACAATTCTTGGATTAGCTCTGACAGCTCTAAAATGAACACTATCGTCCTTTCTGGTGGTTGACAAGGGTCTACCTTTCCTCGTTTTTTCGCTGGCACCACCAGTTTGAAGAAAGTTTTGTTTCGTTGTCCGAACGCATTTCTCAGAAACTCCAATTAACTTGGCGATTTTTTTATTACTGTGTAATGTGCGCATTAATTTGCCATCTTTCACCTTGAGTGATACGTCTTTTGCCCATTTTTCGCGTCTTTTTAGTGCGAAACTAACTTAACTTTTGTTTATTTATTAAATAATGATTAACTAATTCCAGGTAAGTCATATTCATATAAGGTGTTTTGACAGAATCAATTACTTTAGGCCTATTAATGAGAAATACTGGGAAAAAACTACTAATTAACTATTAATTAACAAGATATAAAACTTATTTGATTGTGCGTCTAAATTTATGAACAAAATAAAATCAAGCTTATCAATTAACTTTTTTGTGTTAATCGGTATAGAATGAGTAATAAACATCCTGTAAAACAAATTAAGGTACTCTTTAATAGAGTTTCATTTCCTCTTGTAAATTATATATCAAACATAGCGGTAGTACTTTTATTTTATTTTTATTTTGAGTATTTTCTAACATATATGAAAAAAAAATGAATGCGTCTAAATTTATGAAAGCTACTGTATATATATATATATATATATATATATATATATATATATATATATATATATATATATATATATATATATATATATATATATATATATATATATATATATATATATATATATATATATATATATATATATATATATATATATATATATATGTGTGTGTGTGTGTGTGTGTGTGTGTGTGTGTGTATATATATGTATATGTATGTAAATATGTATGTTTATTTTTACAACAATCATTATTATATATTTCAAAAACAAATAACATTTACATGTCTCCAGTTTATATAAATATCCAACACAAATATTTACAATATATAAAAAGCGTTAACAAGTTTCAATATATAAAGAGCGTTAACTGTTTTACGCATGCGCGTTTGACATCTAGTTAAAATATTAAACCTAAAAATTCGTAGTTTATAATAGGGGAGACCGGGGTTGGTTGCAACAAAATTTTAAAAACGTAACTTATACCCTTTAAATATATATTTTTTCGATTTTATTTTTCAGGGTTATAAAATAGATTTAAGTTACGTATTAATCCAACATTGATAAATAAAATATCAAATTTAGTTATTCCGCAATAGTGAAACAAAAATATGTTGCATTTTACCCCGCACCGGGGCGAATTGCAACAGTGCACGGGGCAAGTTGCAACACAATACTTTTAAAGTATAAGCTTTGCAGAGTTCACATAAAAATTACTAGTTAATCTGTAATTTCTATTTGGCAACAAAACATTATAATTAAAAGAAAAGAAAAGTAGTATTTTAGACTTGACATGTACCTGACATGTTTAGTAAACTAATGCTTACATTCAAAGACTTTAAAAACTGAAGAAAGAAAATAATGAGGATTATTATTTAAGCTCATATATTATTTAAACTTTTAAGTGTTTTTTTAAAAAAGTATTCCTTTAGTTATTCAGTAAACATTAAATCAATTTATAAAAATGCAAGAGTAGTTTTATAAATAATATAAAACACAACTTTCATAAAAATAAACAATAATCTAACTTTGATAACAAAAAAAAAAATTTCCAAGCAATAAAGGCTCATAAAAAAACAAACTAGCATTAAAGAAACTAAAGAGTTTCATTACATTTCAAGTCAACAATTATACTTTTTTATTGTTTTTTTTTTTGATGCAGAAGTACTAGCAGATTTTCGCTTTCTAGAACTAATTTCTTTTTCAGCCATAAGACGCTGTTTTACTGGTGTATCTGTGAGTACTTCTGTATGCTTTCTCTTTGATCTAGTGAGTATTTCTTTCCTGGGTCGTGCTTTTGGTAGCGGTCTTACAACCTCAGGGGAAAATTTTGAAACTGCAGATGGAATTGCATCTGAGGTTGAAGTTGATATACTAATATCAATAGCTGCATTAGATTGGGTTGCTGGACGATCCGTAACAAATGATGGAGCAAAATCTGCATCTGAAAATATATCCTTATTATATGGCAATATTCCTGCCACTCTAAAACCAGAAGATATATTTTGTTGTGTAAGAGAATGTTGTAATGCTATTTTTGCAATTCCTGGTAAATCATATATACTCATTGTTTTCC